TGATTTCCAGTAAATGTTCGCAAGATTCGTGATTCATGTAGCAGGAATGCATTCACCAAAAGCCTAATCTTCTTTGACCACTGTTTCCGACAGTGCCAGGACTATTAAAGTGACATATCAAGAGACGTCACTTTAATGGGTTGCCAAATATATGAAATCCTTAGTTACACAATGGCTGTGAAAGGTGTGGGGGCTTATAAAAGTCTATGGAGTTTGCTCTTTAACACCAGGGCCTCTTGCTGACGCCAGTAGCATACTGGGAAGCCTCTATAATGGGCTTAATAATATTACTAATAGTTCTGTAAATCATTGTTACCCTGTTAGATATTTAGGCTGTCTCTGAAGGCCAAAGGTTTATATAAACCTAAGAAATTCGTAAATCCACTTCCTGAAGTTTCCATTGTACAAACAGAGAACTGACACACACCTTCCTTTTTATGATTCCTCTTCTATTTATTTTAATGCTGTGTTCCTATTATGGTTATGACAGAGCTTTGTATTTGGGGTCCAAAATGGGCTTTTTTTTCAAACAATTATCCACTTACACATTCAAGAGATAGAGGCCCTGTTAACCTCTTATTAACATGTGTCTTGGGTGATTCCATCATAAGTGGACAGCCCTAAGTCATCTGTTCACACCTGGTGCTAGAATCCATCTCCACATGCATCTATAGTGACAATTTGTGACCCACTCTGTAAACATTTTAATTTGCACAAACCAAATGCATTGTCGTTCTATTGGCACACTTCAGCACCAATTTATCAGTTTGCCTCCAGGGGACAGACTGCGGGAGACTGTGGGTGGCTTTGAAGATGGATGGTAACGGTAAATGGACCTGCATTTGTATCGCACCTTTCTAGTCATCCGACCACTCAAAGAACTTTTTACACCACAGGTCACATTCACACACACTGGTAGCTGAGGCTACCATATAAAGTGCCATCTGCTACTCAGTTCTTAATACACTCACACACCGATGGATGGAAGCATCATCAGGAGCAATTTGGGGGTTCAGTATTTTGCTCAAGGATACTTCGACATGCAGACTGAAGGAGCCGGGGATCAGACTGGAGATCTTCTGATTGGTGGAGGACCCGCTCTACGTCTGAGCCACAGTCGCTCTCTTACCCCCATCACTGCCACCTCCAACAACGTAAAGGATTACTGCGAACGCAAAGGTAGTCATTCCATTATCTTATAAGCTGTTGTGGATCACCTCTCTCAGTGAGTACCACACACACACTCACAAATACAAAGTGGATATTAATCTAGAAGTAGTCTCTATATTCAGACTCTGTATATATATAGTCTGTAGGCAAACCCCGGAGATCTTGCCTCCGGAAGAAGAGCGGAAGAGCCCTGGTTTCCAGTTGTAGGCTGTTTGTAGTCCGCGTGATATTGACCAATCATGTTTGAGTCGGCTGCAGTTGTTGCCAGGTTAAACGGTCCGTGTGGTGAACTAACGAGGCGGAACACAATTGGCGTCACTGCAAACTCTGAATCCATCGCGATGGTTCAGCATATTTACTTATATATGAACGGAAGTCGGAAACGGAAATTCGCCTCCTCTGCCCAAATCAAACCGGAATGCCAAAAAAATCAGGGGTCTGCCTCCAGAGGCTGTATTGCCGTCTGCCCGAAGTCAGACGCCGAATACAGCCGATGGGTTTCGAGAATGGTCTAGAAGGAAGTCCTTCAGTGTGGCCCAGGACACATTAGCGTACATGATTCTAAAAGAATGTGGCCATTTGTGGGCCAGATCATCTCTGAATGTGGTCTGAGTGATCAGATCTGAAAATGGTGAAAATGGTGCCACAGAGCACCTCTCCTTTTTGCTCTGTTTTGGTCTCCACCATCTGTCTGCTGTGTACAGTGAAGAGATAAAAAGCGGTTGAAAAGCTAATATACATAGAAGAGCAGAAGTTTGTGCTAATGCCATGTGACTACGTTTATCAGTAATGCAGTTTAGGGTAATTAATTAAGGTTGGAGAATTGAATACAGTGCTATGCTGTGTGGTCCAAATCAACACAAAGTTACAGCGGCACCAGTGTGTAATTTAGCAAACAAAGTAGCCTTTCACCACCTGTTTGTTGTGTATACAGTTAAGTCACAGCAGCAAGTAACAATAGGAGGAGACAGACATAATGGCCACAGTAAAGGTAAGGCGGTATAAGTAGCAGAGTATAAGCAGACAATAGAATACAAGGTGATGATGGTAGCGGTACACTGCTACCTGTAGGACAAATACTGTGGGCTTTATTGTCTTTGTGTTGGGAAAATGATAGACGATATCGTTTTCAATGACGTAACATAAGTGGCCATAGGACGACAATAAAAGTTTTTCTTGTTCTTCAAAAGGTCTTTCTTCACTTCTGGCACATTGTGTGAAAAGAGGCTCGCTCTTATGTAATCAGTTTTGGGTTCAATTGTTGATTGATTCTCACATGTGAACATCTCTGGAGCAGTAAGGTGAGTTTATATAAGCGGATTTCTCTAATAAAACTTCTGTACTTGAAGTAAAAATGTTTAATGCAAGACCTTTACTTGTAATGGAGTATTTTCTATTTCACCTGTTTTACACAACAAGAAAAAGCTGACTGAAGCAGGAAATAGACACAGTAAAGGACACTATAGAGAATAATTTGGATTGTGATTAGAATACTAAATACAGAGTTTAAACTAAGGACACAGAAGTTATGTCATCATGATTGTGTAATGAAATTTGGGAGTTTTAATTATCTATGAAGGAGTTTGCAGTCTCAAATAAAAAAAAAAATATGCAAGGTGAGTTTTTAAGTCCAATTAATATATTTTTTAATGACCAATAATGAAAAAATGAAAAATGTAGTTTTAGGCCATAAGCACATGTTGAGTAACTTTTCATCACTGTAATAATTTGGATATTCTTTGCATTGGGGGGAAGGCTTTAACACCCAGACAGACAATCATAGACGCATTAAAGTTGTAGAAATATTTTAACAATTAAATTAATATTGAAAATCTATTAAAAAAAGAACATTTAACAGATTTACAGTGGGTGGCACTGGGATTGAAAACAGGCCTGACTACAGGATTCCCACACCTTTTTAATGGACAAAATTCCAAAACTTTTTCAGGACTTTTCAAGGACCCAAAATAAAATTTACTGAGCATTCACAATTTATAACATGAACAGAACTGTACTCCAAATGCTAATTATTATATCAAAACTATACAGCATAGAGAGCTCACATAGAGAGAGTGGGCCCTTCAACCATAGGTTGGGCAGAGAGTGGACACTTATGAGTGACTGCCAAGTTGGAAATATGCCTGTGTTCAAAGAACTCTCATCAAAATAAATTAAAGCAGTGTCATTTGCTATATATGCCCTATGTGCCATCTTTGTCATGTGTTTTTTTTTTTTATTCTTTTTTTTTTTGTCTGAAGAAAGGTATTCTCACATCTGACTGTCTCACATGCAGGTGCGTTGGACAAGTCTTTGAACAGAAAATCTCGCACACTGCTCTTGCTCTGCTTCACAATTTAGTAGTAACACTAACGTTTCGGTCCTCTTGGACCTTCGTGAAGAGTGTTCAACACCAATATTTCCAGTATTTAGCCTCCAGTTCACAGGTGTGCACAGGTATGTGGAAGTTAATCAGCTTTGGGTGTGTTTCTCAATAACTGACAACAGCCTGTGCATCATATGTCACATATCCCACAAACGAAAGAACAATCAATCAATCAGTTCAATCAATTTTATTTATAAAGCCCAATATCACAAATCACAATTTGCAAGGAAACAAGAAAAACATGGCAAAAACCTCAGGCTCCTTACACAATAAAGGCTATCTACAAGATTATTTACAAAAAATGTTGAACTTATGAATGAGCACATTGGCTTTGCAGCTTTCATAAATCATTCAAAATGTTGAACATTGTATAGATACTCTTATACCCTGTATAATAATAAATTGGTCTTTTGGAATCCCCAAATCCATTATAGCATGACATGCCATGGTATCTCATCATTAAATCCTTTGAGTTATTATGTATTATGTAGATTAAGTGTCCAGAACACGGGGCGGCAGTAGCTCAGTCCATAGGGACTTGACTTGGGAACCGGAGGGTCGCCCGTTCAAGTCCCCATCCGGACTAAATATGGAGCGTGGACTGGTGGCTGGAGAGGTGCCAGTTCACCTCCCCTTGACCAAACCTCCCAACTGCTCGGCGCCTGTTCATGCCCCCCCTCACTCTGACATCTCTCCACTTTGTGCATGTATAGGTCCAGTTTGTGCATGTGAGTGTATTTCAGACCTGTGTGTTAATGTGTCACAGTGAAAAAATTGAATTTCCCCCTAAAAATATATAAAAAGTTAAATACACTTCTCTTCTGCTAAGTATTTCTTCAATGTCACCACCTCTCTTTGGCAGAGTAACTTTTTCAATGACCTGGACCTTTTTTTTTATTTTTTTTTTTTTTTTTATAGTCCATAGCATCTACACCTAATCTATGCTTCTTCCAAATAAACTATAATAAACGACTGAAATTGTTAAATTAAATGAAAAGTTTTTTATTTTCTTTGGTGTCTTTTGTCATATACAGATATGCAATGATGACTGTTGGGTAACATATGTTGATATCCAATGTCAAGTCTCTGATCATGTGACGGAACAATGTGTGCACAATAGCATGCATAGGGCCCCTCATAGTTAGGGTTAGTCTGTTTGCACTATAACAGGCTTGTAATTAATCAGTGGGCTCCAGTTCTTTCTTTTACAAGTAACAAAGAAAATCAATTTTGTCATTGGAGGTATTGTTAACCAATGATGGAGCTGCTTGTTTAGCAGGGATAAGTCTCATGTGCAGCCCACACGATGGTCGGACTGTTTCTTCCCTGTTCATTCATCAGCCGTGTGTGTGTGTGTGTGTGTGTGTGTGTGTGTGTACGTGGACTACGTCGTGCCGTGCCTTTAAAAGCGGGTGGCAGCGTGTGAGGGCAGTCCTCAGCAGCACAGATCACACAGCGCACATCTGCAGGCAGACAAGCCCCCAAACTCTCTGCTCCTATCTGTCAGCCAAGCAGACTGCTTCCATGGGAAGGATTATTGTGTCATTTTGTCCAACATCCGAGGAGACATAAAATCAAGCAATTCCACTTTCCTGGGTTAATTAATCGGGTTTTTATTATCGTCTCCGAGCAACTGTTACAAGATCGTCGGGATAAAAAAAAATGTAAGTGGAGTCTTCTTTCTAATATTTTATCATTGTAGGCAAGATTAACAAGTTTATACTATTCATATCTGACGTTTTTTTTTTATCTTCTTTTGGTTGAATCTCTGTCTTAAGGCAACTCAAAATCTTAAAACTCTTCAAGGGACTCAAAATGCTTATTTAAATTAACTTAACATCATCTTATCCCACTTAAAGAGCTTGTTTTATTCAGAAGAATAAATACAAAGAATAAAGATTATGATAAGTGTTAAAGCATGTGAGATAATTCAGCTTTCAAGGTGATGCTGTGGATTTCATGTCAGTATATTCATCTTGGGAGGTGGTGAAAAGATTGTCAAGTTAAGGAGAATTTAAGCGTAATTATTTGCATTTGTTTCAAGATGTGACTCCAGATCCCAAGTAAACTTCAATTATCAGCAACTCTCTATGAATTAAGTTGAATTACTATTCTTTTTAAAGGCATGTGGTTCCAGGATTTACCTTGTTTGTGGTTATTCCCTAAATGGGAGTGCCCCTGGGGGTCGTTGACTATAACGAGCCCTGGCATGACATGCTGGAAATGTGAGAATTTCTAAGTTCCAGGGGTTACCTCACTTTCCGAGTGCATTCCGCATATTCTTCCAGCGGTGACATTGGTTTAATAAAACAAGTGATAGATGCTACTTCATAATGAAACCTAAGGAAACAACACACTAGGACGCATTCAAAAACTTACAGTCTGGGGTTTTATTTGGTGTGTCATTGTTACCACTAGACCTTGAACTTCTTTGGGGTTAAAACACAAAGAAGAAGGTTATAAAGAGCAACAAAACAACTTCTTTTATAATGTTTGATGCCCCCATTTGTAGCAGATAATTTTAAGTTCATTTTTGGACACTCTTATTGACTTGCAGAGCCTCTCAGTTTATAGTAATGCAAGCAAACTCTAAACACTCCAATAAAATATTCATACAATTCAGCATTTAGCTTTCCGTCTATCAAAAGGTATTTGAGTTGGATCATTTTGTCCTATACCTGACTTGCATCTGTGATCTTTGTCTTTACCCAGGATGAACAACAGAGACCGCTGGAGGGTGTACAAGAGGGTGAGTGTCATGTTTTTCCTGGCTGTGGTGACGCTGACTGTCGTCCAGAGAGGCACCATCAACATGGGGGCTCCCTTTGAGTTCGAGAGGCAGGCTCGCATGGATGCCTCCGAGGGAGCGGAGCCTGGAGCCGCTCTGGACGTCAAAACTGACTCCTACCTGGGGATGAAAGGCTTCTGGAAGGCGAGCAAACGCCACCCTGTGCCTAAAGCTCGGGCCAGCACGCAGCAGCCCAGGATCACCGAGGACAGCAGCCCCAGAACCTGGGATGTAACCAGCTCCAACTGCAGCGCCAACCTCAACCTCTCAAGTCAGGACTGGTTCAAGGTCCTGGAGGACAATTTCAAGCAGTTCATGCTTTATCAACACTGCCGTTACTTTCCCATGCTTCTCAACCACCCGGAGAAGTGCATGGGGGACGTGTATTTGCTCATGGTGGTAAAATCCGTGGCCACGCAGCATGACCGCAGGGAGGTCATCCGAAAAACGTGGGGCAAAGAGCGGGTGGTTGACGGCAAGAAGATAAAGACTCTCTTCCTTCTTGGAAAATCCTCAAGCGTGGCAGAGAAAGCGAATCACCAGAAGCTAGTGGAGTATGAGGACTACATCTACAGGGATATTCTCCAGTGGGACTTTCTGGATAGCTTCTTCAACCTCACACTTAAGGAGACTCACTTCCTCAAGTGGTTCCACATTTACTGCCCTAGCGTGCGTTACGTCTTCAAGGGGGACGATGACGTCTTTGTCAGCGTGGAGAACATCTTTGAGTATCTAGAAAGCAGCAACCATGGAAAGAACCTGTTTGTGGGGGATGTGATTTTCAAGGCTAAGCCCATTCGTAAAAAGGAGAACAAATACTACATCCCCCAGGCTCTGTACAATAAGACGCACTACCCTCCGTATGCAGGTGGAGGGGGGTTTCTGATGGATGGGACCCTGGCGAGGAGGCTTTACTGGGTGGCAGACACCCTGGAGCTCTACCCCATCGATGACGTCTTCTTGGGCATGTGTCTGGAGGTGCTTCAGGTGACTCCTATAAAACACAACGCCTTTAAGACGTTTGGCTTGGTGAAAAATAAAAGCAGTAAGTTGAACAGAGAACCTTGCTTCTTTAAGAGCATGATCGTGGTGCACAAGCTGCTCCCGTCAGACCTCATGCACATGTGGAATCTGGTCAACAGTGACCTGGTGTGTGCGCAGAAAGTGGAGATCCTATAGCTTGATGGGAACACTGGGTGAGGACAGCACTCGCGAGCTGAGCTGTAACTTGGTGGTATGATGCATGAGAGTCCAAGTGAACTCTCTTTTATGTGGAGAGGGACCGTGGACAATATTTAAATTTGCTGTTTCTGTGCAGTAGTGCAATTTTTGGAGGAGTTTCCTCAAAAGTCCAGTAAATTATGCAGTTATACAGATATTTTTTTTAAAAGGTTGACTTAGAATTGTGTATTTATATTGGCATTTTGAAGGACTCGCACTGTCAGATTCAGAGACGACAACCAAAGTTGCTGCATCACCGGGCGTGCTAACGAAGACAGTTACTCTCTTTAAGATTACAGGCTTATTATTCTGTTGTTGGCCCTGGTGCAAAATTTGTGATAGGTCTCCACCTTATCACAGCCAGACCCACACCCTTCCCTCTCCCCTCCTCAGTGGCCAACACCTTTTTTTCTCCTTCCTTTTGGTTTGATACAGTGGAGGTTTGAAATGCAGGAACCTTGTGGCAGTGAGCTGCCACCAAATCACCAATGATAACAAACCCATTAATGTGAATACCCATCAAAAATGTAGAATTTATGGTGAAGACAAGTGGTATACAAAACCATGAATATGTATTTGTAGCATATTGTACTTTGGGATAAGTCTGAGGGAAATAATATTTGGTTAAGTTTGATCTTGGAAACAAGATCTGGTCGGTGCCCTGGAGGCTTGGGTTCGAAAGCCATTGTACATGCTGCGCAGCCTGTAGCCATGCTAGCATATTGGGTTTGTACTACACATCACCTTCACTTGGACCAGTATGGCATGCTGCAGTGGCTTCAAATCAAGTAAGAGAATGAAAAAACTCTCTCTACCTCAGTAATCTGGGAAAAAACTCTTCATTTCATCATTGGTCACCTTTTCTACTGTAAGCGTAACCATGATATCTTCATCTTCATATGCAGTACATGTTCTTAAAGTAAGATTTTAATCTTTTTTTGTATCGTAGAGGTCTTTGCACTCATTTTTTTTGGAATGTGACTGACTTGATCTGGACGTCTACTACTCCTATACTACTGGAAACATTTAAAAAAAAAATTGTTACATGTTTGCTATCTGTGGATTTGAATGTGCTGATATACTTGACATGGATTTGGTAGAGGGTGTACAATAACACTGTGAACTAAAACTATTGCTGGTACGAGTATATGACATGTTAATTTAATCCCCAGTAAAAGGGGGCAAATGTGGGGCTCTTGTATTTAATTTAAAGTGTGAGATGAGCATATTAATGGGATGTTCAATGATTCGTAAGCTGAATGTTGTTGGTGTAGCGGGTGATGATTATCTCTAGGTGATGTAAATATATGTAAAAAATCCAAATGTACATAGAATGTCATTTGTAAATAAACATCTTGACAGGAGAGTTGTCTTTGAAAAATCTGTCCTAGATTGGCTGTTGTTGTGTTCGGCCTTATCGGTATCGAGCATCTCTGTGAAAATCTGCATCGGGTCACCCAACAATGGTGTCCAGTGTTGACATGTGGGTGTCGGTTACGCAGCTTAACAGTAAAAAAAACATAAATGCTCAAACAGCCATGAAAGTAACAGTGGTGTACTCAAGATATAATATAGAGAGCGATTATTTTTATCAATGTTCAGCAACTAAACCCACAAGTTCTGTTTCCTCTGTCAGCCTGTGATAAGATATCAAAGCTGTCATTTTTCGTTATTCTAACAGTTTGAAAAGAAAACGAAACAGAACGTTCTTTTTTTTGGCACAAACTCAAAAAGAAATGCTTCCACCAATTATCTTTTATGATGACTTTCAGACCACGTTTTCAGAAGGCAACTGTACATGCTTACGACTCGGTGTGACATTTCACGCTGTTTATGTAAAGTGGCCCTGTCAAATATTGTGTGTCTTTTCATCGAGCACAACCTCTGAGACTGATACTGAACACTGAAGATATTGTTCGGAGCTTTAAGTTGGCCCAAAAAGACAAAGAAGGGCATCGCAAAACAAAGCAAATACCTTCCTGTTGTTCCTCACAATCTCGTTCACGACAAAGACAAGAAAGCTGAACAGAAACTGGATCCTCTCTATATATTGTGTTTCATGAGGGGTGCACTTGCCAACACAGAAGCCTAAGTCAAGAAGATTTATCTCTTTAAAATGTCCTGTGTTGAACACAATGTACAAGTGATATGGAGTCGAACCTATCAAGAAGATGTGCTGAATTATCTCTATTATTGTACATTCACCAGTGGAGTTTATGTGACTAAGATGTACCTATCGTTTACTGTCAAGGATTACGTTTCTACTGACGTCTAACACTGTAAAGGCAGTTTAACAAAACAGAACAAGGGAAAGGAGCAATTGTGTACTTAAAGATGTTTTATTGGCAGCTGTTAGACCATTACTCAGATTTCCTCTATTGTTTGGGGTCCTGGGGGTACCACATACCGGTGACACAGAGGTGTGAATGAGGGTTACAAGTAGCGTGCTGGTGGAAGTAAATTCTTGACAGAAAGACAAAGTATACGTGGGTGAGTGTGAGTGTGCGAAAGAAGCAAATTTTACTTTCATTTTGAGATTGGGTTGCACCTCGTGGCAGCTAGAGGGTTTTTTTTTTTTTTTACATTTTATTTTATTTTATTTTATTTTATTTTATTTTATTTTATTTTAATTTAATTTAATTTAATTTAATTTAATTTGATTTTGTTTTATTTTTATTTTGCTTTATTTTATTTACTTGGGTTTTTTAAATTTTATTTTCTATTTTTTTTTTAGAGAATAAGGACATCCTTTTTTAATATTGTGCAGTATAAATGTATAAACATTTATTGTAGTGCCATCGTAGTTCATAAGGGAAAAAAAGGTTTAATTTTAACATTTAAGTTGTACAGATGTAGACTAACTAATAGTAGAAGATAATAACTAATAAGGTCTACTATCTCATACACTGTACACATTTTCATACATTAAATACAATGACAGTACAGTCACAGTCTCCCATCTTCTATAAGCCACCTTGTCTCAAACACATCTTTCCATATTTTGTGAGTCATTTTCTTCATGAATTTTACTTCTTGAATCATACTTTTCCTTTTTATTAAATCTAGGGGAGCTGTTTTTTTTCCACCCTGTGGTTATCTGTCTCAGAGCTGTGAGACTCAAGATTCTGAAGACTCTTGACTAAGAGTAGCTGGAGGATGGAGGATGCACTGAGTTTTAATGGTCAGGGCGTACTGTATGTGTGTGTGTGTGTGGGACACAAAGAGAGGTTATCTGATAAAAGAAAAATAGAAGATGATGATTCATATCTGACTCACTTCTTCAAAGCTCTGCCTGGTAATCATTCAAGCAGAGAGGAACCTTTAAACCACCCTCAAAAGTATGCCAGTGACATCAAAGTTATATAAAAGAACACACTATCGTTGCTGCGCGGTCAAGTAACAGGTGAATTCTACATTTTTTTCACTCCAAAGTTAGCTGGAAGAACTGACTTATTAACCACCAGCAAAAATTCACTATCATCTAGTGTAAATTTCCCACTGTGGTGAGGATATGTGACTGTATGCGAGGCCACACCCAGCTCTCCAACCTGCCTGCAGACCAGGAGCTGCATATTTGTTGATGCTAATTGGAGGAAGCTTTTGATGTCAGCATGGTCAATGGGGTCGGCTGGAAGGGGCTGCGGGCTTTCACACTAGCCCTCTATTTTCTTCAAAGGCCTCCGTAGCACCATCACTGGCATGGCTGAAGATGGGAATGTTGTTGCTTGGGCTAAAATTAAAAAGGACATTCCTCAAGCTATGCAGGCTGCTGGCTATAGCATCTTATGTAACATGCTGTGCCAGTTATTACAAACCATGCATACTGTAGATTGCATTACTGCAGATCACTTAACAGGATATAGCGCTGCAGATCGCCAAGTGTGATAGTGGTGTAGTTTTAAGCAGATGACGTATGCAAATGATCAACAAGTGTTAATGTGACTTGTGTCCTGTTGAAAAACAGATGACAAAACCCACTTAAATCATCTAGCAATCATTTGGAAAGACCTCGACTGAACAACAAAATGATCATGGAAATTAGTAGAGAACTCTGTATGAGAAACAGGGGAATAAGAGATTATGTAGAAGCTGTGTCCAATATACCATATAATGCCAGGAAACAAACTTACACTACCTTCAGGCTGCAGTTTAAGGAATAGTTTGGCATTTTGGGAAATACAGTTTCTTGCTGTGAGTAAGATGAGAACAGCGATAACACCCTTATGTCTGTATGCTAAACATATAGCCACAGCTAGCCTAGCAGCAATTTATCTTAGCACCAAGACTGGAAATGGGGAAACACCTTCACTAATGACTCTTAAACGAATAGTTAGACATTTGTTTTCTTGCTGAGAGTTAAATATGATTGATGACCATTCTTGTGAGGCAGCATGGGGGTGCAGTGGTTAGCACTGTTGCTTCACAGCAAGAGGGTTCCTGGTTCAAACCCAGGGTGGGGGAGCCCTTTTGTGCACAGTTTGCATGTTCTCCCTGTGTCAGCGTGGGTTTTCTCGGGGTACTTCAGCTTCCTCCCACAGCCCAAAGACATAATTGGTGACTCTAAATTGCCTGTAGGTGTGAATGGTTGTCTGTCTCTATGTGTCAGCCCTGTGATAGTCTGGCAACCTGTCCAGAGTGTACCCCTTCTCTTGCCCAGTGTCAGCTAGGATAGGCTTCCAACAGGATAAGCACTTAAATAACGAATAAATAAACCACTCTCATGTCTTTAAAGGTACAGTGTGTAGGATTTAAGGGGATATACTGTCAGAAATTTAATATACTACAACATATAATGAGCTTGTTTAGTGTATAATCACTTGAAAATCTGTATTGTTGTGTTTTCATTGACTGTAGAATGAGTTGGTGATATCTACATAGGGAGCGGGAGATCGCAGTGTTGCACCTCCATGTTTCCACAGAAGCCAAGAACGGACAAGCCAAACACTGCTTCTGGAGACGAATGTGGGTTTTTCGTATCAGGCACTGGAAAAAACCTCCTTCATGTAGTGTTTTTACTGGTTCAATCACCAGGTCCACTTGTTTTTGTGAGGGAGAGACCTCTGTGGATAATTTGGCTCCTGGTAAAAACCTCCTGAACGTCTGGATCTTATCAGAGAAAAGATGTGAGCACACAAGCAGGTGCTGGTTGAGCCAGTCTCCAACATGCCAAACAGCATTGGAGGAACACTGATTTGTAACATGAAACGGCTTCATTCAGAGTTTTTACCACCATTGATCCCCTTGTCTATTCATTTTGGAGAGAAAGAGACCTCTGTGGAAAAATGTGTCTACACCACTTCCTCAAACAGCACCATTCAATCAGATAAAAAAGGAACTGGACATTTTGAAATAACTGAATTCTTAGCAGTCTACTGGAGGCAATATTATGCAAATATTGTTATAGAAGTCTGTCCTCTATTTACTTTGCAAAATACTTCCAAACTCGTAATGCTTCTGTGAGATTCAGATTATGGCAGAAAATGATGTACAAACATGAGCATTTGGTCTCCATCTGTTTTATAATGCTGGAAATAATCAGTGTTTGTATTCAGCAATACAGATTTAAACATGTCCTGTTGTCTAGCACTGATGAAACTAAACAAACAGTATGTTCGTCTCTATCATATTCAAGCAGATAAATTATGATTTGTATGACCACTCAGCATATAATGTAGTCCCTGGCTCCTCGTATCACACTGGAAAAGAGGCCAAGGCCATGCGACTTGTTGGTACATCCGTGCTATAGGACACCATGCACTTGACAAAGATTCATTGTGAAGAGAACTCTGAGCTGTATACTCCCATTTAAATAGGGTCCTATTTAGATCAGCCACTAAGAAAATATGATAAAGAATCAGTCACTGTCCTCTCTGCTCTTCACAGAGCCCCACTGACTCAGCATTAAAGCTGTTAAAAATTTGTGGTTTGATATTTACAAGTCTAAGAGGGTGAAATTGAAATAGCTGAAAGAAGTTTGCGCCTTACATGATCACTCTGAATTATGCAAATAGCTTGTAAACTACTGTCTGCTCCCGAGGCTGTAAGAAATAGTGGAAATATGAATAAATAACAGTAGAAAAGCAGTAGAGAATTGTAGCAAGCATGAAATGGAGCTGAAGTGAAAAACAGCACTCAAAGAGACGAATTCAGATATGGAAAAGAAAGCACAAGGGTCATTCTAGACGGTTGACATAACGCCACAGAGAGAAGTTAGCATGACCTCTGTCACTGTTCAAGGCGGGGGGCAACAAATCTCTAAATGGAGGTATTCAGCGGTGCCATCATCAGTGCCTCCCGCTCAGGCACCTTCAGGAACAAAGATCCCTGTTCAGCGACCGGGGCCAAGGGATGACAGCATACTGCT